CAAATATCAGCCGTATCTTGCTTCTCCCCTCCGGTACACAGCAGTGTGGACCGTAGTGTGGAGTTGCATTAGGTAACACGAGATACGGCTGATACTTGCGCATTAGTTTCTGTTATGGATCAGTATCAACAGTCCTGCCAGTAACGTTGCTATATTATCAATGCCACTTTAGTTATAGCCTTATATTTGATAGCTAACTTCACAATGTTGTGATGTGACGTTAGCTAACATTCTGTAGCTAACGCCGGTCACTCACCAAGATAGCTGCCCAGTTCTCCACTGGTTCTCCTCACACCACAGCTCAATTTCTCTCCGATGGCCGTTATTTCTTTTAATCTTTGGCTGCTCCTGGTCTCTTGGATGCCTAGCAGGCTCATAATTATAAGGTTGTGGTCCGTCATATGCATTTGAATATTCATGTTCAACTTCTTCTTTGTCTTCTGTGTCGAAACTAGCATTGGGATCCATGTTTATTAATACGTTACACCGGCCGCTCTCCCCCTTGTTTCCCCCATGTTACGTCACACGCGGGAGGTCACGTGCCGAGGCTTTTTTATGCGGTAGTGAACATTTCTTACAAAAACGACGCCAGATGTCACTGTAGTGTATATTTCTGTATATATTTTTTGAAAATCTAGTGTATTCATCATTTTCCTACACATTTATTCACAGGTGTCTTTAACCTGGAAGTTGCTCTTTAATATAGACTTTGAGTTCATTATGGCCTTGACTTCAGGATTGTGTGGCAAATATTTACCTACCAATATTAATGTAATGGTCACGAGGATGCAGCCCGCTCATGTGTTGGGAGAGTTTTATTGTGATGTAACGGTGTCTCCTGTCCTCAGACCAGGCGGTGAAGGCAGTGTCGCAGGAAACCACTAAACTCAGCGTGGCATTCTCCAAACCCCCGCTGCCATCACAACAGGTCAGATCATTTTCGGGTGGGGCTGTACCAAACGTATTTTTTTCTTCCTTTTTTTGTTTTACAGTCAAAGCTTGGATTAGAGTTACTGAATGAAGCTCCAACGTCATCACCATGTTTATGACAGATCAAGAAATAATAAAACACTTTACAGTTGTAGTTATGGATATAATGGGCAGTACCTTAAGGGTTCAGATCACCTTTATTCATCTCGAGAGGCAATTCTTTTTTTCACATTGTTTTACAATTACACACATAGGTACACACACATTCAAAATAGGTACCCAGAAGGCAAACTTTCACCTCTCCAGCTACCTATTTTTAGTCCGATCTTAAATCAACGACCCCTCGGTTCTCAAGCCAAGTCTCTACAGACTGAGCTACTGCCGCCCCCAACATTCATTTTCCATTTCTCTCTCTCTAAATCTACCTGTCCTTTGTCTCTGCAGGATGGAGAGAAGTTGTCTGAGTGGGTCCTGAAGAGTGTCCTCTCTCTGTCCACTGTGTATTACTGGCTGCCCAAGAGCCAAGGTAAACCCACCAGAACAATCAGGAATCCGTTCAGAAGAACAGCACGATCCCTCGGTTTATGCTGATGATCGTTTACTTCATAACATTTACTCTATACATTCAGGTCATCATGTTCCATCCAGTCTGCTTTGAATAGGGATTGATTTAAGAGTTAACATGAAAGACTGGATGACGTGAAGCTTCTTGTATACCTGCTTTGATACTCACTTTACTTAATTTATTTGTGTCATCTTGTGTTGGAAAAACAAAGTGTGTGTGTGTGTGTGTGTGTGTGTGTGTGTGTGTGTGTGTGTGTGTGTGTGTGTGTGTGTGTGTGTGTGTGTGTGTCCTCAGGTGTGAGTCTGCGACGACAGGTGAGAGACGCCACAGTCGATGTGTTGGAGGGAGTCACACAGCTGGTGGAGGTCATACTGAGCTCCCCACTGCAGAGGTACACACACACATATTCATTTCATATATCATAGTTACACTGGTGTCTCCATAATAACATTTTAATCAGTAGTTTATTATTATTGCAAACATGTTTTCAGTTCTTAGTCCTTAACAGACCTCTTACAACATTTCTTATTTTAGTCATGGAACTGAATTAGTATAACATAACCACCTATTGTAAATATTAAATGATACACTTATGTATTTATGTTAATAAGCTGGCATACTAACACACACATTAATTGCACTTTGATTTAAGATACCGTAATAAAGAACAGAAAAGATTGAAGTTGAAGACACTGGGTCCAGGAGTATTACAGTTACAGTATTACAGCTACTCTGCTTTTAATTTAATTAAAATTCCTCCCAATCTCTTCCTCCCTGCCTTCAGTCTGTCTCATGAACAGTTAACTTCAACCGGAGGCGTCTGGTCTGCCTGCGACAGCTTAACCCAGCTGCCCCGAGGTCAGTAGTCTGAACAGGATTAACAAAAAAAAAATCATCTACTTGCCCAAAGACAGTTTTAACTTGATCAATTTGAAATCATTTTTATTAATAGTTAGTTTTCTTAAGTTAAACTCAATTTAATATACAAGTGTTATAGTCTTCATGTTCTGTCTAGCAAAAACCAGCATTTCAATTCCACCACAGTTACATAAAACATGAATATTGTCAAATGTATGTCAACATGCTTTTACTGTCATTATGTTTAATCATTTACAGGGAATCATAACTAGTTTTTCAATTTCAAGCTTTGTGATGGACATTTTTTATATTCTGCAGACAATAAGGCAGCTCTGTTGGTGGTTCTGTCCGCTCAGATTGGAGTTGTTAAAGATGCCATAGAGGAAATAGAACAGGTACACGCACACACTCACACACTAGAGGCAGATTTTTTCGGGGATCCCACAGTGCATGAGGTCAATTTCACTTTTATAATACACAGGAGCAGGTGGGAGAGGAATCACAGTAACATCATGCATCAATAATAATAGTAATAATCAAGTAATTGAATATATAATATTCTGAAAGTAGCCATTATTCATAAAGTGTAACATTTTGGAATGTAAGTCAAAAGATCTGAGTATTTCTTTCACTTTAAAGCCATACAACAGACCTCAAATACATTTTGAATTACTTCCCATGAGTATTTACATTCACTGTAACTGTATACTACTCCAGTACTCTGAATACCTCCCCCCTCAGGCGTTATCGGAGGTTCAGGACCCCTTCAGTGACGTCCTGGACGATGACCAGGATCCTCGAGGAAACCAGGACACCTATTGGTCGGAGAAGGACCGCCTTGTGATTGGTCCGTGTCAGGGCCTCATGAAGGCATCCGCGGCGTGCCTGAGGAAACTGACGTCTGCCGTCAAAACCCACGGGGACGTCTCCACGCCTCAAAACGTGGCTCAGCTCGACGACCTGGCCGATATCACCAAGGAACTCAGTCCTGGGTGGGTGCACACGCACGCACACACACACACACACACACACACACACACACACACACACACACACACACACACACACACACACACACACACACACACACACACTACTACTACTACTACTACTACTACTACTACTACGTACGTACGTACTACACACACACACACACACACACTACTCTACTACTACACACACACACACACACACACACACACACACACACACACACACACACACACACACACACACACACACACACACACACACACACACACACACACACACACACACACACACACACACACACACACACACTACTCTCTCTACTACTACTACACACACACACACACACACTACTACACACGCACACACACACACACACACACACACACACACACACACACACACACACACACACACACACACACACACACACACACACACACACACACACACACACACACGGAACTTCTCAGTCTGACTTCCCATAATGCAATATGTGCGGTGGGAAACACAGTGTAGTTTTCTGGTTTGTCAGGACCGATCGTTATTCAATTAAATGACATTATTTTATCGCACATTTTTACTTGAAATTTCATATTTCATTGCTATATCAACTTACATTTTTATCTTTGTATTAGGGTTGTCAAGTTAACGCTTTAATGCAAACATTTTTTAACGCCACTAATTATTTGAACGTGCGATTAACGCATGTATTAACGCGTGTATTTGTCCTCAGCCCGTCCTGTAGTTTCAGAGCCCAAAGGCTTGACGTTGTCATTGTTAGTTGGATGGTGGGAGATTCTAGCGAGAGATATGGATACAAAAAAAGGTGTTTTAAACAGCAAGCCAAGCACACAGCTGATGCCGACAGCCCCGCTCCTGCTGCTCGCTTGCGGCAGACCACGCTTGAAAGTTTGCCGGGGAGACGCCTGGACAACAACAGCGATAGTTAAAAGTATGGCTACAGCTTAACATTGTGGAGGACGAGGGGCTGCGTTAGATAATTCGGGTCGCATCCAACGTGCCGACTGCACATCACAGCGCATTATTTTGACCCACAGTGGGAACTTCAGTCTCCTGCTGTGACTGTTATGAAGACAGAGGAGCGGCATTTCGCCGACAACTGTAAACAGGCTTGTCTGTTTGAGCAACTGGCTCAGTGCAGAGAAGTACACAGGGTTGGGAGAGAGTGTAAGAGAGAGAGAAAGTTTCCAGGTTGTTGTGGAGAATATTCAGGAGAATATTTGTCATTGTTCCAATGATGAACATTGCATAAAGCATATTTGTCCACTCATATGTTGATAAGAGTATTAAAAACCTAATAAAAATATATTCCTCTAAGGTACATTTAGAACAGACAATGCAGAAATTCAATTAATTTGCGATTAACAATGGATATCATGAGATTAAATATTTTTAATCGATTGATAGCCCTAGTTTGTATAGTTATTTGTATTTTATGAATTCTTTATTGCACATTTTCAATGTATGTTTATCATAGTGACAAATGGATAAAAGCACAAATCTGCTACATAAAAGCCTTTGGTTGGTCTGTTTGATTTGCTCTGTTCATAATAAAACCAACTGTTAGCTTGGTCTTCAATATCAGGATACATGTATTTATTATCTTTGCAAGAATGGAAGTAGTCATCACACACAGGGCTGCGTGGGACAACTAGTTCCCAGAACAGAGTCCTTGACATGCTTATATACAAGAGAGGGTGTTACAGTCTCAAGATGCAGAATACCGGTTCAAAGTTCATTAGCTAAGGCCCACGTAAGCAATAAACATGACAGTCATATGTCTATCTCCATAGAGTCTGAATCATCATGTGAATCGTTGTCACTATTGTAACAACAACGTTTTTGATATGCCTAAAACAGTCCTGACGCTCTTCTAGGTAATCATACATCCTGTTACGTACACAGCTACTACGTAGGGCCTTTGTTATCATGTGCTACTCTGATATTAGAAGAGTACATTTTGTATTTTCCCAACACCAATCTTCATTTAACTTTTGGCCAGCTTTTGATCAATTCGCTTTTTTTCTTTTCTTTTTTTAAACAAAATCAATATCAATCAACATTTTTGTCCAATAATGAAACAGTCAAAAAAAATCTCTGCCTCTTCCTGTCTCCTCCTCAGTGTCGATGATCTAGCTCTCTGTCTCTATCCACCCATGGACTATAGCGGAGTAGAGGACAATGTAAGACACACACACCTGTAACATTTGTAATTATAAAAATGTCACGCCAATCTCTGATGGTATATAGTATATTGTCTGAAGCATTAAACCACCACGTGTTAATCCTAGTTACTCATGAGACAAAGTCTCATGTTTTGTGTTACGAGTATGCTTTTTTTATTAATCAAAAATGGACCTCGGCTTACAATATACCAAAGGGTTCTTAATGAGGGATCAGCCATGTCAATAATCAGTAATCTCTCTCTTATCATCAAAATGCGATATTTTTTGACAATGGAGCAAGACAATGCAAGACTCTCACATACGCACACACAAACTCCCTCATTACGCCTGTAATATTTTGATATACAGTATGCAATATGTGCACTGATGTAAATTGCAACTTTATGTTTTCTGAAAGCATTTATCTACGAGGTGGTTCTTTGCGTTACTAATGAGACAAAGTTTCAGGGTTTTGAGGGTTAAAAAAATATATTTTGTTGCTATGATGAGCGCTTAATGAATCTAGTTTAATTTCAAATCACCTAAAAATGATGCCAGTAATCTGGAAAAGTGTTGCCATATTGTATTACAACCATGTAAATGTTGTGCTCTTCTCAGGCATGGTGTGGCTTGACTGTGTTCCTGCAATTGTGAAAAATGAAAACCAGATGTGTGTTACACAGGGTTCTTACAGTCATTAAAAACCTGGAAAAGTCATGGAAATTTTAAATGCTAATTCCAGGCCCTGGAAAAGTTATGGAATACAATATCTTTCCCAAAGTTTTGGAAAAGTCATGGAAATGTAACTGCATCAAATATCATTTATATTTTAGCTAATCGCCGAAATAGTAATACTATAACGATAATAAATACTGCATCGTATAGTAATGAAACGTAAAATGGCATTTAACTGACGCGGTGTTTTGCTGGTGAGAGATTTTAGTTGCTTTAGCCTGTAGAAGCTAGTAAGCCTACGATTTGATTTGATTTGTTTTAGATAGGCAAAACATGTTTCATATGCAGACCTTATTTTCCTGTTCCATGTTAAAATAAACCATTTTCAGTGTTACCGCTGAGAAAGAGTAATTTTTTGGTTATGGAAAAGTCATTGAAAATCATTGGTGAAAAAGTGTATTAACCCTGGTTACAGACAAAGAGTTATTTAGTAATAATAATAATACATTACATTTTATAAAGTGCTTTTCCTGGTGCTCAACGCGTGTGCTTGAGTTGCTGAGCCGCTACCTTTTTAAAGTTTCATACATAAGTCGAAACTCTGTTGACTGGGTTAAGACAAACCCTGGTAAAATATGCACATTTCAAAAGAGCATTGTTTAGAGCAGTTAAAGGTGGTCTTTACCCTTTATATACAGCATTGAGGAATATTATGAAACGTGTCATTCAATATTCATATTAAAATATAAAGGACTTTCTTTTCTCTCTGCAGGTTTCTAAATTGGGAGCACTG